TTTTTTTTTTTTTGAAGAATTAATCTAAATTCAAGCAAGTAAAGACTAAATAGATTAATTCATACAATAAGCGCAAATATAAAAGCTATAAGTAAAAAGGAGAGGAGATGCAAACGATATAATTGTAAACGTTCGATAAAAAACAGCGATCTACGTCCTCCGTTCCCAAGCTCTTCGGCACGAGCAAAACCTTTTCACTATATTGATTGACTTATGTTGCAATCCAACCCTTTACAATGCTTTTTGGCAACTTATAAATGAGGAGCACCAATCCTTATACAATATTGAATTTTACGAGACCTCAATATGACTCACACAGTGACTTCCAACAATGAGCACCCATCATTATACTATTGAGCTTTCACAAGATCTCAGTACGGCCTTCAAGTTTAGAGTAAATGATTTTACAATGAAAACTCTCATTTAATAAATGATACAAATGAATTAAGTATTAAAAGAGAAATTAACTTACGATCAAAGCCTTTAAGGCCTTTAACAACATCGGTGAAGCGAGTAATCATATCGACAATATGCTTATTTTGCTTTAAACAGAAATTTTCAAATTCGTTTACCAAAAGATCTATCTCGATTTTTTTTACTTTGCTAGTGCCCAAGTGAGTAACTTCTAGGGCATGCCAAATATCAAAGGTAGAATCACACGTGTTACCACGATTAAATTCATGTCGATCTAGAGCACAAGAATGTATATTTTTGGCTCTAGTGTTCAACGATAATTTTCTTTTATCATTATCATTGTACTCCTCTTTAGGCTATGGAATGATTTAATTCGGTTTAACAGTTACTTTGATAAACTTTTTAGGCATATAGGGACCGAATTCAATAATATTCCAAACATTATAATCTATTGATTGAACATAAATCATCATTCTAACTTTTCAATAATCATAATGTGTACGTTCAAAAATATACTTTCTTGTGCTTTAGATAGCCTCTAACTTCGACGATAAATTTCTTTTATCTTTATCATTGTACTCCTCTATAGGCCATGGAATGATTTAATTCGGTTCGCTAGCTACTTTGATAACCTCTTTAGGCGAATAGGGACCAAATTCAATAATTTTTCATACATTATAATCTATTGATTGAACATAAATCATCATTCTAACTTTTCAATAATTATAAGGTGTACGTTCCAAAAAAGGGTAACGATTTGTAGAATGACTCTCAATATTTTGAAAATTGTGGTTAGCCATTACTCAAGGTTGTTAAATCTTTAAATTCAAAATGAGCACCTCGCTCTGTTACCACTTAAAAACCTAAGAAAATTAATCAAAAGAGGGTGAATTGGCTTTTAAATTTTTTTTTTTTTTTGAAAAATTAATCTAAATTCAAGAAAGTAAAGACTAAATAGATTAATTCATACAATAAGCGCAAATATTAAAGCTATAAGTAAAAAGGAGAGGAGATGCAAACGATATAATTGTAAACGTTCAATAAAAAACAGCGATCTACATCCTCCGTTCCCAAGCTCTTCGGCACGAGCAAAACCTTTCCACTATATTGATTGACTTTTGTTGCAATCCAACCCTTTGCAACGCTTTCGGCAACTTACAAATGAGGAGCACCAATCCTTATATAATATTGAATTTTACGAGACCTCAAATGGCTCACACGGTGACTTCCAACAATGAGCACTGATCATTATACTATTGAGCTTTCACAAGATCTCAGTACGGCCTTCAAGTTTAGAGTAAATGATTTTACAATGAAAACTCTCATTTAATAAACGATACAAATGAATTAAGTATTAAAAGAGAAATTAACTTACGATCAAAGCCTTTAAGGCCTTTAACAACATCGGTGAAGCGAGTAATCATATCGACAATATGCTTGTTTTGCTTTAAAAAAGAAATTTTCAAATTCCTTTACCAAAAGATCTATCTCGATTTTGTTTACTTTGCTAGTGCCCAAGTGAGTAACTTCTTGGGCATGCCAAATATCAAAGGTAGAATCACACGTGTTACCACGATTAAATTCATGTCTATCTAGAGCACAAGAAAGTATATTTTTGGCTCTAGTGTTCAACGATAATTTTCTTTTATCATTATCATTGTACTCCTCTTTAGGCTATGGAATGATTTAATTCGGTTTAATAGTTACTTTGATAACCTTTTTAGGCATATAGGGACCGAATTCAATAACTTTCCAAACATTATAATCTATNTCTATCAACTTTAATAATTTTTGAAGGCACATACGTACCAAATTCAATAAGTTTCCAAACATTATAATCTATTGATTGAACATAAATCATCATTCTAACTTTTCAATAATCATAATGTGTACGTTCAAAAATATACTTTCTTGTGCTTTAGATAGCCTCTAACTTCGACGATAAATTTCTTTTATCTTTATCATTGTACTCCTCTCCAGGCTATGGAATGATTTAATTCAGTTCACTAGCTACTTTGATAACCTTTTTAGGCGTATAGGGACCAAATTCAATAATTTTTCATACATTATAATCTATTGATTGAACATAAATCATCACTCTAACTTTTCAATAATTATAATGTGTACGTTCCAAAAAAGGAGGACGATTTGTAGAATGCCACTCAATATTTTGAAAATTGTGGTTAGCCATTACTCAAGGTTGTTAAATCTTTAAATTCAAAATGAGCACCTCACTCTGTTACCACTTAAAAACCTAAGAAAATTAATCAAAAGAGGGTGAATTGGCTTTTAATTTTTTTTTTTCTTTTTTTTTTTTTGAAGAATTAATC